TAAAATTTTATTAGAAAAATTTAAAATTTAAAAAAAGTTGCAGGCAAATTTGGCTGCAAAACAATTTAAGGGATAAGCAATCCTATAAGTGTTAGAACAAAAGGCAGAAAGTCAAAAAAAATTAAAAGCTTCAATGATAATATGAATATATCAAAGAGTAAAGATAAAAAAAAGCAGATTTCTCAAGTTGAATATAATAAATTGGATAACGATAATGATGTTAATTATAAAGGTATATATTATTAGAATTGTTATTTGAATTGTGTAGTTTATCGAAATTTGATAATTTTGGTTAATAATATAGAAGAAGGTAGTAACGTAAAAGAAAAAAAAGACATAAAAAAATATGGAATTTGCAACTCAAAGGGTCATAACGCACGCACATGTTCAGGTTTAGCTGAATCTGATAATTCAGAAGACAATTCAGAAGATGATAATTCAGAGGAAGATGATTCAGAAGAAGATAACTCAGAAGAAACTAGTATTAGACGAAAATGTGGAATTTGTAATCTAAGAGGTCACAATGTACAGACCTGCTCAAATAAATAAGTTTAATATTAATACTGCTATGACAATAAGTCTCAAATGTATAAGTAATTAAAGTAGCTTTAATATTTACTAATTAGATAGGATGCTTAATTTGTATGAATTATAAATACCTCTGCTTATAGTTGATATCAAATTGCAATGCTGCATTTTATATGCACATACAATAGGCAGTTTAACATTGTTTTCTAGAATATAGATTTGTTATTCAAGAAAACTAAAAGGTAGAAGTTTGATTTTACAATCAAATCTTTTATTTATCTAACTACTATATATTAGATATATTGTAATAAACTTCTATAGTAGATTACACTACCTTATTGTTATTTGAGTTTGTTGTATGAGAAATTTGGGTTTAGGTTTAAGATATGTATTCATAAGTTGTTTGTATCTAGTGATTATATTAATAATAGATTTGGTGGTTTAGGCTTGTTTTATTTTCTATATATATATACCCTTGAGAGTAAGTAAAATTTGAGTTAGAGATTCCCGAAAGGGTGTTAGGGTAGGGCGGGTTACAAAAGAAGAAGCCAGAGGGTTTATATGGGTAACCTCCTAGTTGGG